CGACACAATGACACTATGGACACGGTCCGTGTCACTAGTTAAAATTGCTTATTTCTCTAGATTTAAACATTCTTCGAAACATTTGGGATAATGCAAGTACACAAGTCAGCAAAATATATAACACTGTTCCAGTGGTTTTTGGATATTTTAATAAAAAATACATATTGTGCCTTTAAAGCTGCAGTCCGTAGGTTTTGCCTCTTTGTCGCCATCTCTGTTTAAAAACCTGCGATTGCAGCTGTGTGCGGAATTGTCTTCATTATGTGGGTTGTGCTCCGGCTCGGCTCCAGCGCGGATGAATTTAATGTTCTGAGGAGTATGTGTGGCAGTCAGTCACCGCACCGGTGCAGGCTATAAACGATCCGCTAGCTGAAGGATCCTCACATGCGATAGCCTAGCATCCGGACTACTTCTTTATGTTTACAGACGTGACGTAATGACGCAGCGGCATGCTCGAATTTCCCGTGAAAACCTACCCGTACCACTCAAATTAGAAAACATTATTATAAGCTAACCCTTGTGAATCGGGCTAAAGTAAGGCGAAAGTTTTGAACGCTGGCTGGTTATGTACTTGCTCAAATATTGATTTCGGATCATTTTTAACCAAAAAAAAGTTACGGACTGCAGCTTTAAAGATCTAATAAAATATAACTCAAATCAATATTTTGTGTCTAATTATTTACTTATGTGGCAAGCCGTGTAATAAGCAGCATAATATACATCCAGCAAGTTGTTACTGCAAACTTAAGCAATAGTCAGATAGCTTTTTAGACACTCTTGTAGCAAATCTACATTATACAAATATTAGATACGTCCTATAGACGTATCGCAGATGAACAAACACTCTAAAAAATACGTTTTGTAGACGTCAAATAGACGTCTCTGTGATGGACGAGTGCTGTCAGGGTTTGCTGTGGTATCGAAAATTGTAAAATTGAATTGGTATCTAAAATTTTGGTGTTAGATTAGGCCTAGCTTATCTATTAGAGTAAAAGATAACAGGGCAAGTAAAAATTTGAATCAGTGGCCCGACTGAAAATACAGCAGAGATGTGTCTGAACAGCTCCAAATAAACCGGTTTTACTGCTGTTTAAGACTAATTCTGCGTGTCCACTAGATGATGCTGTGGGGTTTGAGTTTACAGTTGCTTTAGGAAATTCTTGAAACTGTTATTTTAATTTATATATTAAAACTGTTACCGTCCCACCTGTGGGACGCTTGGCGCTCTTTTAATTTGTTGTCCTTTTTCTCTATCAAATATTTTAGTAATCATAATAAATTATATATCGTTTGAAAGCTTAGAAGCCCAAGATTCAAGTGTCGAGTGTCATATTACAAAATGCATTACGGTCTTTTAGAATCAAAACTTTTTATAATCTTGACATAAAACATATCATTGGAAAGGTCAGAGTCTCAGGATTCCATATTTGGTGGTTATTTTGAGAATTACCACCAAAAAATATTATAGAAGTAATATTGACAGAGAAATCTAGACATTTGTGACAGAAAAATGCATTAAAAAATTTCAATGGAGTTTGGATGGCACCCGGTGGCTGTTTGTGGTATAACGGCCTAAATAAAATTTCACAGGAATCTCAATTTTTTTAATATCAACTTCAAATTTGGAACATAGCTTATTTAGACACAAGGCTTTAATTTTATAGCAATTTTAGAGTAAAACCTGTTATGAAAAATATTTATTTTATATAAAACAAAAAAAAAATAGTACAGTACATTTTCTTTACAGTAAATTTAAACTACCATAACTTTTTGATACTTTTATTTTTTTTAGAAATTCCACTTTTGCGATAATCTGCCGATTTTCTTCTTTAAAAAGATACCAAACTTATGTCTGTAAAAAATGGGGGGTGACAGTTAAGGGGTTAGCGTGATTTTCTTATTGTTGGCTCTCCTGCCCACTGAATGACACCAAGTGTCTGTGCATTCTCAGCTATCTGTCATTTTGTCAAGTCTTGTCTAGTCAAAGTCATGCCTCGTGCTTCTTTCCTGTTCTCTGCCCAGTCATCCTGCAGTACGTGTGTGTTGGTCCTGTCACTGAGAACGGAATCGACTGCCTACGTTACCTTTTCTAATAAACTATCTGCTTTTACCTGCCTTCGCTCTTGAGTCCTCATTATTCTCGTGACGAACAGGTTCTGAATTCTGTATATGTTACACATAGTAACTTCAGTACGTTCCGCTGCATGATATTAGGAGATGGTGTTGGTACGATGATTCCAGAGGAGCCCCAGAGTGGATTCTTATATGTCTGTTGTACCATGTTTCTGTAGTGCAAAAATTATGCAGCATTATGTGGTGCTGAAGGGGAGAACTCACTAGGTTGTTCTTGTATTTGGAGATCTCTTAAGAGGAAGCATATCAATCTGTTTTCTGGGAGCAATCTTACTTGGTAGAACATTCCCTTGATGTCACTGCTGACAGCAGCTGAAAGCAGAGATGGCCCCAACACTGGTCCAGGGAGGAGAAGCTCATTCGGATTTTGTTCTTTTTGTTTCTCAATATTAGAGGAAGCAATTTAAAACTATCCTGTTTTTCCCATTGTGCTGCACCATGTTATGTGGGATGTGCCAGGAGTAGGAAGGTCTGTCGCAACATTCTGTTGCAGTTTCCTAACACCATCTGCTCATTTCAGTTTTGAAATTTCAACAATATAAGCGTCTGCTTATTGTGGGTTTTTGGCCAGTCTCCTTTTAGTGGCTTTCAGCTGCAATAAGACTGCCTCTTTAGGTGCTCTGAGTTCTGCAGTGTTCTTGACACACAAATGAGGAGTGCATATTGCTCAACACCATAAACTCAGATAACGGCCTAAATAAAATCTCACAGGAACCTCAGTTTTTTTCGTATCAACTTCAAATTTGGAACATAACTTATTTAGACATAAGGCTTTACTTTTTTTTGTTTTTTTTTGTTTTAGCAATTTTAGAGTAAAACCTGTCATGTAAAATATTTATTTTATATAAAATACAATAAAAAATTTACAGTAAATTTAAACTTCTATAACTTTTTGATATTTTAATTTTTTTAAATAATTCCACTTCTGCAATAATCTGCTGACTGTCATCTTTAAAAAGAGACCAACCTTTCCTCTGTATTCCGAAGTGCTCATGAATTATAACAGAAGAAAAACATCCAAAATGCACATTGAAGTGTTTATTTTATTGCACTTTATCTGTTTGCGTCTGTAGATATATTAAGCCAAAACTGTGAGATATTAACTCAGAAGCTTTTTCTCCCAGGGAGTGCGTGAACTGATCAGATGCCTACCTTGAATGCAATGCAAGTCGCTTTTGTGTCTATCAAATGCCTGAATGTGAATGTCTTTGTACCTGTGTGTGTTTCAGGTGTGTTTTAGTGTGAGTCCGCAGCGCAACGGTCATTCGGAGCAGGAGCTCATCCCAGAACCCAGAAACCATCAACCCACAGCCAAAGACGAGCATGGTAGAACAAACAGAGTCTTAAATTCATAACCTCATCATGGCATTAAATGTTGCATGAACAGTGTTTTTGTTTTGTCTTTCAATACAAATATCTAAACATCCTTGGATCAAGTTTTAAGTCTTGTTTTCTGAGAAATTGAACAGCTAAATATACATACACACATTTATATTTATTTAACAATATATGCTTGACATACATTGCAGAAATTGAACAAAATGAATTGAGTTTATGCTTAAAACTAGAACAGATATCATCAGTGGGGAATGAATGAAGTGTATTTTTGTTGACATATTTCCTCGTTTTAATCATTTTGGGTCATTCTGTGTTAACTCAACCAGAGGTCCCCGGCTCAAATGTTTGATTTTGTCAGTATTTTTTCCCTGAAGAAAGATAAACATGTACAGTATATTGATATAGTGAAAACCAAAATATGAAATGTCATGGATGTATATTTACCGAGTAATGCACCGACAATTTTCACCTGAGATTCGGAGCCAGATTACGGAGGGTTAAAAATGACTTCAGAAAGATGGCAGCATCATGATGTTATTTTCACACAGAGATTGGTAGCTCTATTAGTAAAATCTGTTGACTTCAGCAATCTGTGTTGCATTATACGCCAATGGTGACCAATCAAAAATGGGGAAAAAGCACTTTTCAAGTTTTTTCTCCAAAGTTTGCATGCCTGTAACTCAAGAAGTGTTAAAGATCTCTTTATGCACTTTTAGATTTTGGGTTTTAATAAACTTTCCTTTTGGCTTCTTAATTTTTAAGGCCCTGTATGGTTCGGTTCCAGAGATACTGGGATCTAAATATGGCTCCAGGAGATTGTTCAATTGTACACGTGCTCAAAAATCAAACGTGGGTCACTTTGCATTCAGCTGATACTTTAAAAATGAAGAAGCCAAAAGGAAAGTTTATTAAAACCCAAAATCTAAAAGTGCATAAAGAGATCTTTAACACTTGTTAACCCTCCGTAATCTGGCTCCGAATCTCTGAATATCTACAAAATAGTGCATTTCTCTGTAAATATTCATCCATGATGTTTCATATTTTGGCTTCCATCACTATACATGTTTATCTTTCTTCAGAAACAATATTAGCTAAATAAAAAATTTGAGTTGGGGAAGTTTCTGAAATTCGGTTGATTTGAGACAGAACGACCCTTTGATCAATTTCTCATAAAACAAGACCTTTTGCCGTTCAAGCAAAAGTATCTTGATTTAGGAATCTTTAGACATGTTTGAACTGGAAAGCTAAAATACTGAGTAACAACATTTTTTTTTTTTTTTTGCTGTGTGATAAGTAGATTTTTTTTTGTGTGTGAAATGAATGAAAGAAGTCATATTTTCAGACTAATGCGAGATTTTTCGTACATTTTATTTACTTGGTCATATATTTACCTTCACAAACATGCAGAAATCCTGTTTAGGAGTTAACTGCGTCATGAAAATAACTTCTCGATGCAAAAAAAGTCTTAATGTTCCTGATAATGTAGTTAAACTTGTACATTATCTTTAGGTGTGTCAGTAAAATGAGATAATTTATGAAAATCACGTTTAATCTGGAGATGATTCATTTCTGCGTGTTCTGTCATGAATCAGCAACACGCGTCTGCATGTGTTTGTTACTCAGGTCATGGGTTAGAGAACGCGAGGGTTCGGGTGAGGGGCGGAGAGCCGCTGACGGAGGGGGCGGAGCTAAACAGCACCCTGGCGCTGTGGGCGGAGCTTCAGGAAGTGGAGAATCAGGTGTTTGATCCTGAGAAAGCCGTGAGAGCGAAATTACAGAGTTCAAGCCTCACAAAGAACCACATCAGCAGCAAAGCAGCAGAGGGTGAGATGCCACGACATTAATCAGTCATAATTAATAATTAAAAATGAATAATGAGTCATTTTGTGCTCTCTTTGCCTCGTTTTCTACAGGCCTGAATTTCCCTCGCTCTCAGCTCCTGTACCGGGCCTTAGTCAGCGTCAGCCAATCACACGAGCAGCTCATTAGCCAGGCCCTGCAGGATAGGCCAGCGCTGGCCCCGCCCACCACCACACTGACCAATAAGGTCAGAATTGTGTCTGTGTCATGTTAACAGCAGTGGTTTACGTTATTAATATGATGTTTCCAGCTGCTGCAGTGTTTAATGGAGCAATAAACCACGAGATGGATTTTAAAATCTGAGAAATAACTCAAAGCAAAGTAAACTAAAGATGCCAATCTTTAGTTAATAATTACATTTATGATTATTAATAGTTAGAATAAGCAATTCTTACACACACACACCATGGTACTGATTGCTTCTTTACCATAGTGTTTACACAATACTGTGGAATACTTTTATTTATTCATTCATATATATATATATATATATATATATATTTTTTTTTTTTTTTA